TATTAATCCATGAAGTCATGTTCATGAAACTAAAACAATTAGTGAAATTTTGATCATTTTGGTCAGGATTTTGACCTAACTTCTTGGCCAAGTTTCACATAGTTCCAATTGGATTTTGCAAAAGTTATTAAAATATGGGTTTTATAGAACATTACAAGCTTTCCAAAATGTCCAAGAACTCCATGAGATCATTTTTGAGCAAGGAGAATCGAAGGCAAGAAGTTAGGGTTTCAAGTTATTTTACAAGGCATAATTTGTGATGCACAATGGACCAAATCACATAGCCATGTTGCATAATCTCACTTTGCAGGATTCTAACTTGAAATTCACTCCTTAATTAAATGTTTACACAATTGATAGAACCATTTTCCAAGCATTTGAGCCATTATCCAAGTTGGATTTCCATTTTTGGAAGAAAGTTCACACTTCCATTTTGGAAAAGTGGCTTTAATCACAAAGTTCACTCTCCTTGAGCATTGAAATTGTTCTTTCTGCATACACAAGCCCTATAAACCAAAAGCAAGCATGTCTAAAGTACTAACCATTCTATGCAGCCCTGTACCATGCCTTCAAACAAGATGTTTCAACATTGCTTCAAAAAAACAAGTAAAGATGCTACAACTTGAGATTTCAAATTCTGGCTTGTTGTAACATACAAGATCTCTTGCCTATAAATATACAAGTCATTTTCAAGCCACCACCCACATACATAAGCCCTAAAACTTCCTAGTACTCAAAATCACACATAAAAACTCCATTGTTGCACAATCTGACCAAAAACTTGAAACTTACATTTCCCTCGTGCATTTCCAAGCCTTTTGGTTCCTAAAGCTTCTAAACATCAAATACAAACCATCCAAAGTCCTTTTGACCAAATGTAACACCTCCATCATCAAGTTCCATTTTCAAAAACAGGGTTTGCAACTTGACATTTCCAGAACTCCTCAGCCACTTTCAGCTCAAGCCAAGCATCACATTAGCTTCCTAGGAACTTGAGGAAGCTAACCCAATCACTAGAACTCATTGAAAGCTGCTCCAACTCAAAACACGATACCCTCTTGTAAGGTGAGTTTTCTGACTTTTGAACTATTCATATAGACATTGTTAGGCTTCCATTTTCAAAGATAAAATGTAGATATCATTGCCCTGAAGCTAACCATGTCCATAGTTTTCATTTATGTTGCTTGAGCTTAGAGAATTTTAAGTTTGAAATTTTTGGAAAATTTAGGGTTCAGATTAGGGCCAATAAAATTCATGTTTGTCTTTGATATATAGTTTTAATGCTTTACATTTCTGAAATCGTGAGGAAATTTGCCACAAGATTCATGTTTACACTTTTGCAAATGGATGAGAAATGAATAAGATGCAGGTAGTATGGCTGGCGTGAGGTTGAAGATGAAGTTCAGGCCTCGGAAGGGTTTTCAAATATATATTTATGGTTTGATATAAGTAAACGGATGTATAGCCACCCAGTGGTAGAAGCGTGCGCCTTTCACCTTTAGGACCTGAGTTCGAGCCTCAGCGTCCGTTTTGTCATTTTTCCTTTCATTTTTTTTGTGTCTTTTGTTTTTGCAGCCAGCGCGTTTGAGCCCTCATCCTTGGGCTTTGTCATTTTTACTGAACATCACCCCCCTGTTCACTTATAACACACAACTCATCTCTATTTTTATTTTTATTTTTATTTTTATTACAAATACAATAATGGGCCAACTTCAAAACTGTTTTTTTCTAACAAACCTCCCAAATTCAAATTTAACCCCCCCCCCCCCCCCCCGACTTTTTTATTTTATTTTATCTTTTATTATTATTATTATTATTATTATTATTATTATTTTCATCAATAAAAATCCAAAAAAATATTTTATTCATTTATATCCAATATTACTTATGTTTTATTTTAAAACCAAAAATCCTATAAAAAAAACTTGCTTGTTTAATTAAATTAATTTTTTTTTAATTTAGGTCAAATTCTTCTTAGTTTAATTAAACTATTTTCCTTAATTAATTAGATCAAAAATTCTTTCCCCTTAACAAAAATCCAAAACTAAATCAATTTATTTTTCCTTTATACTTGTATACTATTTTCATTTCAATTCTTGTACATGGTTCCATATAGTTGTAATAGTTAATTAGATTTAAATTCTTACAATCCCCATTTTTAAAAATGTATACCCCATCCCCCAAATAATGTAATAGCGTAGAATATTTACTTTTCGCAATTTATCGCTTTATATAAATGCTAGTAATTAGGATTTGTATGGAAAGACTAAAATCAACAAATAGCAAACCCTAATTCAATATAAATAATGCATGTAAATCAAACACACTTGCAAACTTACACCCTTAGGGTAATTCCACTTTGTTGCCTTACAAAAATGGTCATGTTATACATGTGGGATATCTTAGCAAAAAGCAATAAAAAATACAAGATCATAGTCCCTCGATGACACTATCAATGTTGCCTTTCAAAATGATCTTAGTTCCTCAAAGATAAAATGCTAAGATATCTCACAATATTTCTATCATGACTATACGATGACCCACGCCTGTCCCTTTACATCCAAAGATAGGGCTTCTTACCAAATCAATGGTAAGATAGCAATATCAAAGGAAAGGAAGAAATGAACTAAGACTTTTGAGTAGGTACATTGTTCCTAGTTGCTTGCTCATTGTCAAATCAAAACATCCTTGCTTATTTTCAAAACAAACACCAACACTTTCAAAAAACACTTTTAAAAACATTTTCTAAACATGAAACATTTTCAAAAGCTCAACAATTTGTATACGTTCTTACGAACGAGAGCTATTACAAAGTTTTCCTAAACGAAGGCGCATTTTCAAAATACTTTCAAAACCATACAAAGCACATTTTCAAACAAAAGAAACTGATCTAGCAAGCAATTAAGAGCCCATAGATAACTATGGATGAAAAGGGTGGTAACACCTTCCATTTTCATAATCTACCCCCCGAACTCAAGAAATAATCTCATAGGTCTTTCCTGTTCTTTTCAGCCTTTCCTTTTGAATAAAAGAAAAGTCGGTGGTGAGTCTTGCTAACCGCGACATTTGCATAAAATGCAAAACATCCTAAGTCAGTTCTCCCACCGTATCACAGGATGTATGTGTGTTGCCTGTACCAGAATTTCAATCTAGAAAGTATCAAGTTGTACAACACATTTCCAATTGTACTTATGATTGAAAGGATGGCAGAATTCCCCAAATTGATGGAGCTTGAGAGAGAATCAAATAAGGATAAGTCGAAGAAAGAGTCAGTTTTAGATTTAAGTGGTTACAATTTGTCCGCTGCATTTTTGAATGTAATCGAACTATTTTTTTGAATGTATTATCGTTCATAATATATATATATATATATATATATATATATATATATATATATATATATATATATATATATATATATATATATATATATATATATATATATATATATATATATATATATATATATATATATATATATATATATATATATATATATATATATATATATATATATATATATATATATATATATATATATATATATATATATATATATATATATAAAACATATCTATTCAATATTTTACCGATGTTTAATATTACCGATTTAATTTATTTTTCATGTTTCTATAGTACTGATTCGACTAAAATAGAATTTGTTTCTGTTTCTACATAATTCAAATATGCATATCCGAAATAACATTTATTTTTTAAAATTAAAAACAACAGAGATTATTTCGGATATACCTATTTGGAAATTTATTTTTTCATAAAAAGGGTGAATTCAGATATGTGTGTCTGAAAGCTACCATTTGGTGGCTTCGGATATACATCTACGAACCTATTCGATAAAAAACTACAATGTGATGAGTTCGGATATGCATATCAAATTTAAGGGGTATTACAGGAATTTCACCAAGATCCTCTAAGAATTCATAAGGGTGCATTAAGATATTCTCATGATATATTTTTGAGGTCTTTTAACCGCTCACATATCTCGGTGAACAAGTTATTTCCAGAGCTTTATAATTTTTTAGAATTTTGTCCTGGACAAATTAACGTTTTTTTATAATGTATATACTAATTAATATTGTATTAAACCTTGTAAAAGTGACAAATATAAGGATTGTGATATGTTAAGTTAACTCAATAGATAGTTGTGCAAGAATATCAATTATATTGATGTAGATTCGAATTTGCAACATCCTATTTATTCACTTTTAAATGGTGAATTTCAGTCATTAAACTATTTGATAAAACAAATAAATATGAAGAGAGTAAGTAATCCTTTTGATTAATAGAACTTTTAATTCTTTCTATTTTTTGAACCAAATTACAATTAAAGGAAGGAAAATGAGTGAACAAGATGCATAAAAAATCATATAAAAATATAAATATGAGAAAATTGATATGATACAAGTGTGAGTTGGAAGTCCGACATTGTTTAAAAATATAATAGTCGAACACTTTATAAGTGAAAAATTCATATATTTAATGCTTTAAAAATTTTAGTCTATCACTCGTGTGTTGATCTTGATCAAATAATGCTTTAGAAAATGAGATTGTAAGTGGGTTAAGTGTGACCTAGGCTTATAAATCTGAGAAAAAATTTAAAGATGGGAAATTCATTGTATATAATATATAAATAATCATCAAATAAAATAAAAGAGATGAAACATAACATTACAATATCGTGTTAAATAAAAGGCAAAATACCTTTTTTGATTCCTTAACTATATTATTGGGTTCAGATTGGTCCCTTAATTGTCTTTTGTGTCATATCGGTCCCTTAACTTTCAAAAAAATTTATTTTTGGCCTTTTTGTCTAATTAGCGACGAATTTAGCGACCAATCTCTAAGCTTTTTCGTCGCTATTTAGACAAAAAAGACTAAAACGAAACATTTTGAAATTTAAGGGACCAATATGACACGAAAAACAATTAAGGGACCAATCTGAACCTAAGAGTATAGTTAAGGGACCAAAAAAGGTATTTTGCCTAAACAAAATCACAAGGCAAATGTCCTTTTCGATACTTTTTTTCGATGAATGTTCGAATAATATCAATATCATCAAGTGACTTGAATATATCTCGTTCGGTGTAACATATCATCAAGTTATTGAACCACACATCGTTGATCTTATTGTGAAATTTAGACTTGATAATCTTGATTGCTGAAAAAGCTCTTTCAACGAATGATATCGACACCGACAATATCAAAGTTAACTCAATAAGTTTAAAAACCAATGGAAATACCAAATGTTTCTCAATTTAAACTATATTCGTAGTCAAACTTTGAACATCTTCACAAGTGGAAAATGAAGCATTTCTTCTCACTTGAAGAACATAATTGTCAAGTTGATCTCTTATTATTCCACGATCGTCATCAGAAAAGTCTTCATGATAAATATCAGCAAGATAAGCAAGCTTAGCAACTTCAAACTTGGAGAAAGAGTTCTTGGGGCCAATCAAGGATAACGTTACTTCCTTCACTAAAGCGGTGATCCATCTCCACACATATTTTGTCAATAGAAACATAAAAAATCTCTGCACGATAATGATGAAGATTAGTGACAGTCCTCTCTTCTATCCTTAAACAAATATGAATTGGTATTTTGTCATCTATATTTGGCATCAGAATACCTTTAGCAATACAAAATTCCTGGACATCGGCAAATAAATTATCCCAACCACTCTCTCTTATTGTGACCAACAGAGCTTTAATAACATCAACTAATTCTATGACATTCACAATATTAAGATATTTTCTTTGCAAGAGATTTAAAAGTATGTTTGTGATACCAAACAACTTCAACATTAACTTCAAAATAAAATAAAATTTAAAGCTCTCTATTTTTTTCTATCAAACGCGCTGCTTGAAATGGTCCACGCCCATCTCCATCAACCATACTAAGCACCTTTAACACAGATGACCATATTTAATCCAAACGAATCAATATAGTATGTTGTGAATCCCATCTAGTTTCCCCGAGTCTAGTGAAACTAGATAAGTGGTGCAATCCCCTTCCTCTAGATATCTCACCCCTCTCAAGTTTATTTAAAATATTTTGGTGTTGTGCCTCCGTCAAAGCATCCCTCCTCTTACAATACTCAAAGAAATCATGAATAGATGAGCAACTACTAGCAATAGACAGAACAATCAATTGCAAACGATAAGCATATCAATGGACATTGAAAGCATAAGGGTTTTCATCTAGAAACTTTCTTTGCAAACCATTAAATTCACCTCTCATATTTAAAGATCCATTATATCCTTACCCTCTTATCCTTGAAATAGATAATGTGTATCCGGTAAGAACTCATATCTATTGTGAGAAATAAGAACTATTGATATCATCTATCGGATTTAATTAACGCTTAAAATTTCTTAATTTCATAGTAAGAACATATTATTGAATTTTTGTTATCATGCTCGATGTTTAAAAACTCCATAAAAAAGCGAATCTTTCTATAAATATTATTTATTTGCTATAATTATTAGACTATTATCACAATACGAGATTATTTTCAAAAATATTATATTAAAAATTTAAATATTATCACAATAATTTTCTATTCTCTCTAATATTTTGACTCTTCAAATATTTATTTTAATTTGATCTATAATCTATTTTGATTGGAAAAAATAAATTGGTTTATACTATGAAGATAGTATTTATACTTTAACATTGATATAGTTTTACTCATTATTCAATTTAGAATAATACTATGAAGATAGTATTTAATTTATATTTTAAACTTCATATAATTGTATTTCTTATACAATTATAAATAGAACATATTATTAATTTATCACCTATATTTTTCCTTTTAATTAAAAATATTTAATAATGTAAAATTATTACCTATATTTGAATTGTTTTTTTTTTTTAGTTTAATTTTTGTGTGTGAATGATCTACTATTGTGACCATTTTTAATAAAAAGCATTTTTTATTTATTAATTACATTTTTTATTTGATTAAAAATATTTAAGAAAGTTAAATTATTACTTATACTTTAAAATTTTATAAGTTATTAATTTAATGTGATCAAAACACATTATTGATCTATCACCTATATTTTAATTTTATTTATAATTTATAAAATTTATTTATTCTGTGTAAAGAGCGCAATATTATTGGATATTTGTCTATTTTGCTCATTATTTAAATTTTCCATAAAAATATAATCTTTTCGAAAATATTTTCTATTTGCTATAATTATTAAAATATTATTACAATAGTAGAGTTTATTTTAAATGGTCATAATTGTAGAATTTGCAACAAAAAAAAAACCGATTTTTCAAATTAGTAAATCAAATAAATTAAAATATAAGTAATAATTCCACTTTCTTAACAATTTTTAATCAAATAAAAATGTTAGTAATAAATAAACAATGTTTTTCTATAAAAATGGTCTTTATATTAGAACATGCACAAAAACAATTAAACTTGCAAAAAATAAATCAATCAATTAAAATATATATGTAATGATTTTAAATTCTTAAATATTTTTAATTAGAAGAAAATATAGTTGATTAATAATATGTTCTATTTATAATTATATAATAAATGAAATTATATGAATTTTAAAGTATAAATTAAAGACTACATTCATAATATTATTCAAAATTAATTTTGAGTGATTTTGAGTGAAACTTGACCAAAAAATTTACCTAGTAAGGGTGTGATTCTTTGACAATTCATTTGAGCCTAAAATAAAATTTCTTTTTTCAATGTTACAACCCTTAACTAGTTTTTAAGAAAACAATGTTAACCACCTTATCTTAAAGATAGAAGAATACATATAAACAAAGTTATTTCAAAAACAAAATTTGAGGAGAGAAAATAAAAAATAAAAAATTTTGAAAAAGAAAATTCAAGTAGTACTGGTGAAATTGAAGAAAAAGAAAAGTCAAGTAGACAAAAGAAAAAAAAAAGTTTGTAATAAACTGGACATAAAGAAGGAGGATTTTTGAACGAAATAATTTATGCTCTCTTATCTTTAGGCTTTTGAATTCAAAGAAACACTAATATTATTATTATTTTTGTAAAACCTAGCCACATTACAACCAAATGAAAGACTTTAGTGTTTCATGACTGATTATGTATCATATGATATTACTTTAATAAAGTCCGAAATATTTCTATGGTTGATGCATTATCTAATAATTAATAGAAACAATTACCCATTTGAGTGATACGCATGTGAGATAATGATTTTGATGAACAATTGATTGTTGATTTGAATATATTTTAAATCATACTTTGGTGAAGAAAATAATTTATCTTCATGCTACAATTTATGGTGCTTATAATGTTGATTATAAACTTTCATTTGAAGAAAAATCATGTCATATCTTAAAGTAAGGGTGACAAATGGGCATGTCCATCCCGTTTAGGCTCGTCCCACAAAAGTCTGCAAAAAATGAGACAGGGCGGGCATAGGTGAGGAAGCATGCCTAAAACCTAGTCTCATCCCGCAAAAAGTGAGTGTGGGGCGGGAAAAGCTCACGGGTATTTCACCTTTTAAGCCTAAAAACACAAAAATTTATGAAAATGCACGTGCCTGCAAAAGCTCGTGCTGAAAATGGGGCGGGGCGGGATGGACAAATTAGAGGGTGAGGGCCTAAAACCTTAGCCCTCCCCATACTAAAGTGCAGGCAAAACAGGCATGTCCAACGGGCCGAGCCCATTTTTCCACCCCTACCTTAACGTGATTTCAAAAACTTCTTGATCATGTCTTGAGAACTTTCATGAATACTGCTGTGATACGGTGGGAGAACTGACTTGAGGTTTTGCGTTTGTTTTCGCAAATGTTTCGGTTTAGCAAAAGTCGCCACCGACTTTTTATTTTATCCTAAGGAAAGGTTAAAAAGCACAAGAAAAACCTTTGAGATGTTTTCTTGGGTTCGGGGAGTAGATTATAGAAAGGGAAGGTATTAGCACCCTTTCTATCCATGGTTATCCATGGGCTCTTAGTTACTTGCTTAGATCACTTGCCTTGCATTTTCAATTGTTTGAAATGGTGATTTCAATTGTTTGAAATGGTGCTTTGTGTGTGTGGTTTTGAAAATGTTTTGAAAAAGATACCTTGTCTAGGCAACCCTTGTAACAATTCTTTACTCGAATGTTTTACAAAAGGTGTTTGTCTTTTTGAAAAGATGTTTCAAGGTTTTGAAAGTTGTTTTTGGGAATTGTGTTGTGGAGTGTGTTTTGCAAGTTTGATCAAGTAACTAAGAGTTGTCTACCCGTAAATTTACTCAAAGATCTTTCCTATGTTTTAACCCTTTTAACAGTATTGTTCCACCATTGTATTTGGTGGACAATCTTGTGTTAGGATGTTACCGGGACGGGCGCGGGTCATCGTTTAGACCATGAATGCAATAGTGCCAGGTGTCTTTGGCAATTTTTCCTTTAAGGGACTTGATCATTTTTTAGGCAACTTCGAAAGCGTCATCGAGGGACTATGATCATTTGATTTGTTTTTGTTTTGCCAAAGACACTCAACATGCAACATGGCCCATTTTTGAAGGCAACAAGTGGAGTAACCCTAAGGGTGCAAGTGTGCATTGTGTTGTACATTTTCATGCTTTTTTGTCTTTGTATTAGTCAAGCTATTTGTTATTTGATTTGCATACAAACCCTAGGTCTATCATGGCATAATTTGAAAGCTTTTAAATGCGTAAATTTAAAGTCCTAAATTATTACAACATAATTATGGGGATGGGGTACAAATGTTTGAATGGGGGGATATTTAGCAAGAAATTAAATCTAAAACTATTACACCCATATCGAATATACAAATTATTTAATTGTACAATAATTAAATAAATACAATAAATATGCAAAATATATTATGCACAAAAATGTTTTTTTTTTATGTATGAGAAAGTATTTTTCAATGTGAAATATAGACAAAAATAAAAAGTCAAATTTTGAATATTTTTATGGTTTAGGGCAAAACCCTAGTTTGTTAAATAAATAGTATTTATTTATTAATATTATACAATATTATATATTAATTTATACAAAAATAAAAAAAAGGAGTATATTGTGAAAAAAAGGAATTTTTGATGTCTAATATTAATAAAAATAAAAATGTATTATTTTCATATTTTTGTCCTAAATATTTAATAAAATATGTATAAGTACATTTATATATATTTAATAACCTAAATATGTACAAAAATAAAATATTAATTATTTACAAAAATGAGTATATTTTAGAAAATGTTTTCCAAATGTAAACAAAAAATAATAACTAAAAAAAATATATTTTTGTATTATTTTCTAGGGTTTTAAATAAAAAGTATATATATTTATTTACATACATATATTAAATAAAAAAAATAAATGCCAAATAAATTCAAAAAAGGGTGGAAAAATATTTTTAATATTTTTTATGTTTTGACAAAAAATATCAAGTTAGAAGAAAAAATAAAAAGTCAAAAATAATGGATATTTCACACAATGGACCAGGGGGGTGCAAAATGAGAAAAGGGGTGTAAAAAGCAAGTTGACTCACGCCCAGCCCA